CAATAATATCTTTTCGTATTTTTTAAAGCATAAGCCTGCACCGGAAAACGCGAGAGGAAAATTAAATTGGCAATTTTCACTAGTATCGGCGTTAAGTTTGTATGTATACATATACGTACAGAGAGAATATTATGGACTCTTGCATGGATATGGAAGCCTGATAGTGAATCCGCGGCTCGCGGAGTCCTCGCGGCGACATTACCCGTCGTGCGTCGTCGAAGGCGCGCGTGGCATCAGAAAAGGCAAAGGGCTGGTCTTCGGCCGCAATTACGTTCGATACACGCGTGGTACGTATCGTTGACACTCGCCAAGACTCCTCACCTGCCCATCAAAAGACGTAAAGTCATCCACATTGGCCAACCAGGGAACCGGCTCGTATGCGAGAGAGTAGGTCGTCTCATCGCGCTCGATCGCGCGGGAACAGCTGTAGTCGAAGACCTCCTGCTACTTCATGCGCTCCTAGTGGTTACTTGGCGAAATGTGGACGCCTTTCGGGAACTGTTTTTCTTGGCACCCTGAAGTGTACCCCGGGTGCGTCCAATTACCTGTAAGGGCATATTGGGTAACGGAGGAGACCGCAGCCGCGCGTAGCTCGTCGCCGGCGCGTTCTTCGAAATACGAGGCGAACACTGTTTTATCCACGCAACAGAAATCGTTAAATCGATTCTCCAGGTGCTGTTCTTTTACTATTACACCTTCAACGTCAGATGACCTAACTACTTTTAATTATGTTCGATACTTCTTCAACAAAAAACAACATTGAGAGTCGAAAAACTGTCAGAAACATTAATTTTAATCTGGTTTAAAGTAACATACACATTGCTTCGAAATAAAATGGTTTTATTTGTTAATATTGATGCAAAAGTATATCAAGTAATATGTGAAATAGGAACGAAGATGTAATTTTTATTTTATTAGGTAAGGCATTCTTAAATATTCGAGGATTCGCTCCTTGGTTTAATCTTCATCGTCGCTAATTATTACACGAGACGACCTTTGTTGATTACGTTGCTCTTGCGCGGGTTCTTCCTCGTCGTCACTAATTATCATCCTGCTGTGTTTCAACTCGGTATCCTGAGACGTTAATGGCTCCTTTTCTTCGTCGCTATCTAACAGGCGACGTTTTTTCGTCGTTCCATCCTCCTTGTCCGAACCGTCCTCAGATCGATGTCGTTTTCCTTCATCTGGTACAAATGTCCCTTTAACGAACCATAAAAATGATGTAATATACTGATTGTTTCACGTAACTGTTATTTCATTATGTACCTTGAGCGCTTTTCACATTGGTCTCTGTTTCTATCTCGGAGTCAGACGAATCGACAAGGCGACTGATACGCTTGGCATATTTTCCATCATCAGACTTGGGAGTGTCTATAATAATTATAATAGTAATAAAAGCAATAAAGTTAGCTCGCCATCACTCGACTTCGTTTGTCACTGATTGATAATTTCGATAATGAAGAAATAGTTGCTTTCTCTTTGAAAACATGGGTAAACAAAAACTTGTATTATAATTTTATTGTAGGTCATCGAGTGAACGATGATGCATACTACGCTCACATGTCATTGTGAGATGAGATCGCATTAATAGAGTTTGTTAACGTTTTATCATTGTTATACACATTTTGCTGATGAACGATGCTCGGAAAGCTTAACTATCCTTCCCAACAGAGGGCACGTAACATTCTACTCGGTACGCCCACAATACGTACCGACAGTCTCCGAGTCTTCCGTTCCTGTTTCCTGCATTTCCGTATTGACGTGTTCAATCGAAGGAGTTTTGATGCTTCGTGATGACACTGGTGTGGAGCTGACACCAGCTTCTGAATCAGAATCGCGAGAGGTCGATGGTTCGGCTACAAAATACACGAGTTTGCTGGTTGACGTGACTTCAGCAATTTTTGAAACAATTTCTACACGAAAGTTTATCACGCACCTTTGGAAGAAAAGAACTTCTTAACATTTTCGAGAACATCCTCGTCGTCACTTTCATTATTCCCGTCGCCTTCAGAGTCTTTTGAGGTAGTTGCTTTCGGTTCTAATCACGAAATGTAAATGTACACAAAAATAACAAGTTTGAACGAAGAGTACGTAGGTCGTAAAAATAATGAACAACCGTTGAACGCAGTAGATTTTTATATTAATCAGAAAACACAAAAGAATATAAAAACTATAAGGAAATTCTTTTACTATGGTGAGAATAAAAAGCTAAATACCTTCGACGGTGAAGTTCCCTGCCAGTGCAGACTCGATAAGAATACAGCGTTTCCGAATCATCGGGTTGACCATATCAGTCGGTATACGCCAATAAGATTCCTGTTCATCAGCGGGTGGTGTCAATCCCATAGCTCGAATAAGCCTCTGAAAGCTCGGCGAATCCATCGCGGCCGACGAATAATCTGTCACTGGGACTAAGGGTATACCCTCGGAACTTTCCTCGTCTCGATCCTCCAAGACATCCTCTAGGGATTCCTTCAGCCATTCGAGAGCTTCGCCCAAATCTGATTTATCAAAAGTCTCCGTTATGTTATTCCGTTTTGATTCACGAAACAAGTATAGTAATCATTTCGAAATGCAAAAGAGCGGATCATTTCCATATGGAAATATATATGTAACTCTTGTTTTCGTTATTTACTTGTTTTGATTAATAGCAGTCTGGATAAAACGAATTTTATTCATAACTTTTCTGCAAACTGTTGACGAGTCGAAAATGTTACAAAACTAAATGGATATAATCTTCGTAGTGTCTACTCAAATATTTATGATCAAAATAATGCATGGTGATTCGAAGAAAAAAATGTTTTTCCCATACGACGGAAAATCCTGGTTCATGCATATCGTAAGAGGGTATGTTAACTCGGCTTTGAAATGTCAGCGACCCTTCTCGAAAGTAATGGTATTTTGGTGGCGGTAGGTGACAAACGCATTGACTCGACGCGAGAAGCTGGCCGAGATCGTTTTTTAACGACGCCTACGCGAAAATCCACGGGGATAAAACGAGTGGTTCCGTGACGGCAACCACATTTGTACCGCAAGTAACGGATCTCTTTGACAAATCATTGGTTCTTCTCATTCGTATTTTTTCTCTCTTTTTCACCCTCGAACGATCACCGCGTTGCCCTTTCGCCCTCCACCAAAGTCGTTTGTCCTCTTTCACGCCTTCCGCGTGAAAGAGGAGTGATAGAGAGCATAATGTATTCGCAGTCTCTACCGCGTATTTTATTCCCATAAATCACCGCCGTGCCGGGTCGTGTTCGGGTCGGAACTGACAGTGGGAAAAGGGTCAGGGACGATACAACAGTATTACTCACTTTTTTCGATGACATCCTTCAAGAGTCCGGATAATTGTGCGTCCGTGTAAACCATAGCTGGCCGCTTCCTCGCATTTTTCTTCTCCATCGTTCCCTTCTTCGCCGGTTTATTGGAAGTCTTGTTCTTATTGCCGGAGGATTTCCCAGCCTCCTCGTCGCTGCTTTCATCCTCGTCGGAATTACTGACAGACTGCGTTTCCCACGACGATTTACCTTCTTTTTTTTTACGAAGTAGCGGAAAATGGATAGAAAATGTTTTTCGATATGGCTTTCCAAGATATTAACTGTTTACAGACTAAATATTTTGAATGCACATGTGCAGTGGAAATCAAAACGAGCATAAACATGTAATATTTGGAAAAGAGAAATTGTTTCTTTAATAAAGCGTTTAATATTAATGTATTATAATATTATTCGACAAGTATGTACATACGAGTGACTCCTATAATTAATATCGGTTTGATAAAAATTGTTAATTACTATACGATCACACTACACGATCCCTTATCATATTACCCTAGATAATGCGTATTACCATACTCTAATTATGTCAAATTTAATAATGAAATGTGATGCATGCAAGTGTAGGAAAAATGTAATGTCCTATGCAATTGATATCTTTAATACACAGTCATTTCGTATGTGTAAAGATAAATAGTGATAGAATTTTAATTAAGACTCGGAAGAAGGCGAAGGTTTCTGATGCTCTTCAATAGTAAATAACGGCATCACAATCTCATGAGAGTACCGAAAGCCGGAACAGAGTTTGAAATTGGGCTGCTCGAGTAAAGATCATATACAACTACATACATAGACGTGTAGGTAGGTGTGTGTCGTACACACGCTGCCCATCCGCATGCATACTGCACTGCAGCGGGCGGACTGAAAAATTCAAGAAACTATCCAGAAACGGGAAAAGAATGTTCATCGATTTCTCCTCCGGTCCGGCGGCGTTACCGTAGCTTTCTGAGAATCTCGAATGAGGAGAGAAAATTAAAACTCGTATCGCGCCCATTGACATAGCTATTCGTGACTTGGTATAACTTTCACTAAAGCAAATGAATAACCCGGCGTGAAAACTAGTTTCAAAATTAAAGCAGAATTTCGGATGAAGGATTTCAACGGATCGGCGAACGTTGATTTAATAAACGGGTCCGATACGACCGGAATTGGCGTACGCCAAACAGAAGTCGAATGAAAAGAGAAAGACGGAAAGCAGTTTATTTTACGCGGTGAAAGATACTTTTCGGATTTCGATTTTGACGGTACGTAAGCCCAGACAAAGCTTTGCTTTTATACTTCATCTCGTAACCTTATAGATCCGTGATGCGATCTATCGCGGCGTATTGAATACAAAATAAGCGTACGCGCGGCTGAGGAAAGAGGAAAACAATAACAATGATAAATATGAAATTCCCGATGGTAGAAATAGACGTGATATTGGCCCGGGAGTAGTAAGACTGCGACCTGAATTCGAGTGTTCCAATATTAAATAATAACATCTGTATTCTGTCACGATTCTGTCATAGACTGTTCGTATGGTTTTATGTGCGTCATGTCAGAAATGTGAATACGCTGAACGGCGACCGAAAACGTTTGATGCCAGTAACAATAAACGGCGTCGAACACACGCGATGAATTATTAAATCTTTCAACCGAAGTATAACAGCCATTAATAATCGAATTAGTTATTTGACCGACGATCATCGATACCGTTCAAACGATGACACACGGCGTACGCGTAAATTCTTGATCAATGTCAGCTAACAAGCTCAGAAATGAAGTCCATATTTTTCCAATATCGATGATATATTTTTATGTTGTATCATAAAGAATCCGAGGGCAGTTCGAGGAGGAGATCCCGTACAAATTGATCTCGTCTCCTCTCTTTCCCACTAGTATTTATCCCAACTGTTCACTTTCCCCGGTCGAGTGTCACTATTCCCGGTCCGAAAACGAGTTCATTGCATGAAGTCGGCGGGCAATCGCGTTAGCAGGAGACTGATCGAATGGGAATAGTCGCGGAATCCAAGGATGGTAAGAAAGACAGATGCGAATGGAATGGGATAGGGATTGGCCGGAACAAGGGGTGCTTCAACTTCGGGCGTGCTTCAGACCGGGGAGAAAAGGCTGGGAAAAGAGAGGCGGTCGGGAGCCGTGGAGAACGGTGGTAGACGAAGGAAGAGCGAACACTCACCGTGGTTGCTTTTTCTGGATCGCTTCTTGCGCAGCTGCTTGCGATCCGTGGCCAATCCTAATTCCAAAAGCTTCTCCTTGATCTTTGCCTTCGGCCGTTTTATTGTGAGCCCGTTGAAGATCAGCTCCACTGGATCTGCGTTCCGCGCGCACAATGCAAATCGTATCGACATTAATTCAATGTTTAAAGAGATGAAATGCTGATTCAATCCGTTTCAATGCGCAACGAATCAATGGCGAGGAAACTGAATCGGTAAAATTGCACGGATAAGCGATGTCCTATTGAAATAAGAATTGAAAGGAGAGAAACTAGTAGGAAACAATTTCAGCTTTAAAATTCAATTAGTGCTAATTGGTCTCGATGAATAATTTGGCTAAGAGTTCCGAAACTTTACCAATTTTAGAAAATCGTCGTGTAACGCAGCCGGGTAATATTGAAATCATAAAGAACAAGTTTTACAAGAGTTTGCAAAATTTTTCTTCTCAAAAGCGGGACTGTTCTCCGTCAGTCGGGACGAATTATCGCTGGAGGCAACCAGCCAGCCGTCACCGATGTTCGGCGCTTAATTAAATTTCGAGGAATCGTGCTAATGAATTTTCATGCTCTGCACAACGTAAATTCTTCGACTGCAGCGGCACGCGGTCGGTCAGCCCTCGCAACCATCGCTAAATTATATCGTTCTAAGACGTTGTTTATCGCTTATGATTGATCGTTGGAAATTACCGTCGTCATCTTTTAGCTGCTCCCAAAGCTCCTTGAGCTGATCCATCTCCTCCTCGGACCACTCCTTAGGAAGCCTCTTCTGTATCTCGTTTCGCACGGCCTGAAACAATTTTTATTTCTCTTTCGCCGAATCGAAAATTTTGCTAGCGTTTACATTAACACGTTTCAATTTTTAAATAGTAAATGAATAATAGTCTTTATATCAAATTTCTGAGTTACACTGCAAGTTAAATGTTTGTACAATTTATTACGAAGAATGTAAAATTATAATATATTATGCAGATGACCTATAATTGACAGACAAAACTTCGGTCGCATCGTGCCACGTGGTCTTCTTTTGAAAGGGTTACCAGACCTGTGCCTGTTTGATAAGACAGACATTCTAAAGTAACGTAACCAGCTATTTATTGTGCAAACGAGGTCCTGGAGAACGGTGCCGGCCTAATTCCTGATCCCTAAGCCCCTGTTTCCTCGAGAGGAGATAAAGGGAGAAAAAATATACGAGTCTCGTTTTCCAACGATTACGTTTCACCCTCGACGGTGCGACTGGGGATCCTTGTTGGTCGTCCTAAATGGCCGTCGCGCGACTTCACGGACTAAATGAATGTCAAATGAACAGCACGGAACCGTAGTTTGCCTCTTATTCAGGTTTGAGAGGGGCGAAGGGTATCCACGCATGAAATTATTTAAATGAAACGCTTTCACGGCTTTAAGCTCTCCTTTCACGGATTTCGCCGTCGAATCAATAATACGTTTCGTCCCTTTTTCATCCGCTTGGTTCAAGTTTCTTCCTGCTCATTTGCACTCTCGTTAAGTTGCCAAATTACAAAGACAAATAAATATTCGACAGTCTGTCGTATTGACTCGTTAAAAATTGCAATCTGGTGCTACGATGAACAAGGAACACAACAGTCGAGAGTACCGGAGCTAGTAGATTTTTAAGTGGCAGTATTACCGAAAGGAACTACTCATTAAATCGTCTAGGGGTAATTTTAAAGTCGTTCGAACGTAAGAATTCATGGGAAATCAATAACACACCCGGAACAGGGGCAAGTTCGTCCCTAGCTGAATCAAGCGGTATAAGGAGGAGAGCAATCAGTTCCCGCTCCTTTAGGAGCAACGGGTGCGCACCTGATGATTAATCGTCAATTTCCAAGTGGGGTAATACCGTTTTAACGGTACTCAGATATATCGTCGCCTTACCCCCATCCATCGTTCTTACTTTCCCCTACTATATTTCTCTTTGGGGCGCGCGTGCCTACAGGTTCCTCCGCCGTCTTAAACCAGGTAATGCCTCAAGATTATCGTTAGAACGCGTTCCGCCCGCGATGTTGTCTGATGGCTTTTCGACAAACAGTACGCGATGTAACGAACATGATCCCTATGGATCGTCTAGGTTACTCCACGTCGCGAATAAACTGAATTAACGAGTTTCAAGTTTGTCAATATGAAAAACGTACGTGAAACAATCAAAATCATGTTTTTTCACGCTCCAAAAATTTACTCGTTGAATATTCAGGAAAGAGAGTATTTCGATGCGAATTTCCAAATGAGCGCGATAAATGATCAGAAAAATGTCCGTGAACTTTCCGACCACACCGCCGCGCCGGGAACTTTACTCGATTATCAAGTAATGCGTTTAAAACTGTGTTACGTATGAATTTAACGTCCATGCAAATGGCGGATCTCATTTTACCGTGTACATTTTCATGTAAATTTTCTTCAAAGTTTCACCCATTACATTCGCACGTTTTTCGAAGTTACGGGGGAATTCTGGTTTTCCCCGGCCATGTAATACATACATAATACATGAAACGGGGGGCGGAAGGTGCCACTTGTTTCAAAAGGTTTTGTTTGAAATCGTATTGTAACTAGTCTGAAAAGTTGTCGCGTAAAGGATTATTCAAAAGGTAGTAGGACACGCCGGCGAAGAGGGAAACCGAGTATCAGTATAACAAAACTCATTGAAATCGTTGCTCTACCGTGTCGCACCGTTGCGCTGGCTCGTTGTTAATTTCTTACTGCCGCTTTTTAACCATTTAATAATCTTTCCCACAGTCATTGTTGTTGCGACTGAAACGACCCGTTCTGCTTTTCCGTAATAAGCGCATTGAAATGATTCAGCTGCAAACCAGTCATGAAAACCCTATTTTTCCTCGCCCATTTAAGCTCGCCTCTTATTGTATTTTGAAAATCTGTCCCCTTTGTCTACTTCTTTTTATCTCTCGTCGTTTCGCAATGAAATTTTTGTGGTTTCCTGGCGTTTTCGTTCGGATGAAAAACGCATAGAGGTTTCAATAAGTGAAAAAATGTTTAAGGATCTATTTGCTGTTTCGATAACCCGCGACGTTTACAGCTGTTGTAAATTTTAGAAAGGAGGATGTTAAGCTCGGGCGGCGCGTGCCTTGCCTTAGCTTCGCGCCATGATACAAATGTTTATACGTGTCTCGCAGGGCAAGAGGCGAACAAAGCGATAGTTTCACGGGAAAAGGGGGCCGCGGCACTGTAGCAAGGGAAATAACGTGCTCGAACGGGTAAGCCGCGATGGAAACTCGTGAACAGAAACTTTAATATTACCGGCACGATTTGAAAGAGAGAGCGAAGGAAAAATTTATTGCGTTTTCGAGACGCCGCGGCTGCCAGTGAAGAAAATTGTTTTCGCGACGGTTAGGGAGAATGTATACTTAGTCGATGCTTTTTTTACCCCAATCAGTTTACTTATGTGTGACTGTATTGTAAAAGTATGAAGAAAATTATTGAATTCTGTATAAAGAAATGTAGTAGACAATTGAAAATTTCTGAAGATTGAAATTAAATGAAAAGTGTGATACGTGATACCTCGAAACTATTTCAATAATCTGAATAATTGTTAGGAAATAAATTGCGCAACGAGTTTCGATACGGGAATGAACGATTCATTGAAAGTTAAGGGAGTGTTTTCTATTTATGCGTCTGGCTATCTATCCCGAGGATCTTGATGCGGTTGTTGGAAAAGAAAACGCAAACAAAGCGATATAGCTTTCCAACTGCGGTACCGGAAAGGAGCACTTGACGGGAGAAAATCCTGAGATACATCCATCCCCGAACGAAGGGGTCGCACGAAGGGGTGGAAGAAACTCTTGCTGGCACAGCGGAAGTCGTGATCCACGCAGGAACGTAGAAGTCTCTAACTCCTCTCCTTCGTGGACAGTAAGGAAAAGGGGTTCCTCGTGGAAATTGTCTGCAGAGAATTTACAGTTCCTGAGGCAATTCTCTGGCTCCATTTTTTTGCATATGTTCAACCCTGTCACCGACGCGCGACGCCAGTCCAGAAACTTATTTTCGGGGCCAACGCCACCCTACGCTCTCTCACGCTCCTCGTAAATCATTGACCCTGTCACGGTCTCGTTGACGACGCGATGGGGGCATTTCGAGACTAGCGATATTCGTTCAAGTATACACCCTTATCAGATGTCTTCAAGAATTTACTCATTCGGCAAAATTAATTATTGAAAGGTTAAGAAAATTTCGTGTCACTATTTTTGTTGCAAATAAAAAATATCTGTGTAAATGAATTCAAGATGTTCGTTACGACAACAATAACAATTTATGGATTTACATGAAATTGTATTCAATTTTCTAAAACAGTATTTATGATATACTGTTATTTATAGTATAATTTATATTTGATGTGATATAGAGGTTTACAGGAAAAAGATAGGATCTGAAAGATACGCGTGTATTTATCTTTCACCGTCCCGAAGAATTGCACAGCCATGGGGTGTGTCAGGCTCGCGCAGCCCATAGATCAGGGAGAAAATAATCTTCCCAAGATATAGCAAGCGCTGACCCCGCAATTTTCGATTATTCTACGATTTAATAAGAAAAGAGAAGCCCGACACATATTTCCACGCGCAAAATTTTTGTCTGTTGTATAAAAAAGCGTAGACATGCAAAGAAGCAGAAATGTTTGTAAGAAATGTTACTCACTTTGGAATTGACGATCAAGCACAATTCTTTCAGTTTCTTTATGATACTCCGACGCGTTCGCTCTTGGTTAATATGGTCCAAAATCCAATCGATGACATCTAAACAAAGAAGGACAGAACAATTTTATAAATATGCGAAAGATTAGCATGTTCTATTAATACATGTTAGTATTTCTTTATTAATAAAACGTAGAAAATCTATAATTTTTAATAATAATGCGTAAGATATTGAATGAGTGGTTCGATACTTGGTGTCTATTGTTATTTATATTCAATCAATGTTATGCGTGAATTGATTCGATGGCAGGGAAGGGTAACTAGATCGCCGGAGGATAAGAAACTCGATAAATGAAGACGTTGTTATCAGTAATCTAATATTATCAAATCATAAACAATCCTCTCGACCAGGAATTCTGGTATCAACGATCACTTCAGTAAGATTAAAATATTACTACCTTCCATGAACAATAGACTAGATCTCAAGCAGTTTCCACGTTAATAAAATCTCCAGGCATTGTTCTAGCAATCTATTATCTATGTACAAATTAAAATCGGTCTACATATATGCATTGCATTCATTCCGAATTTAAATGGATTTCATTTAAAACTTTCATGCATTATCCAATCAGGACAATGTTTGGCATTAATATAGCAGAAGTTCATTAAAATTCACTTGATGAATTAAGTTGTTATTAAAATTTCATGTAGATTCTGCTGTACGTGTTGCAAAAGATAAATATTTCCCTCGGCGAAATAATCTTATTCAATACCGACGGAATAAAGTTAACCGCCGCCCTCCGGCAAATTGAAAAATATCCAACGGGAAAAGTTGTGCCTTTAAAGAAGACCCGTAAGTCATGGGATTTAGCGACGTACCTTGGGGATAGTTGTTAGTCTGATGTTCCATAAAGAGAGTGCGTAACTCGTCCTCCTGGGTTTCGGTCCAGAGGCCACGCGAAACTTTCTTGTTATCCGTTTCCGCGTTGTAACCCTCGACGACCTCGGTCGCGTCACGACAGGTCTTCCAGAAGAGCAGCTCCATATACGCTTTCCGGTTCTTCTCCGCGACTTCGATGAAACGCCGGATTATGAAGACCGCGAACTTTTGGAGATCCTGCGAAATCTCTCTCTCTCTCTCTCTCTCTCGGTTTCCATGGAATGGAACGCGGCAGTTCCGGTGGCCATTAACCGTGATATGCAGATATGTAAATCCGATGCTAACATTTCTGATTCAGCGGGGATATACAACGCTCGTACGAAATTATCAAAAAATTGGTGGAACGAAACAAAAATTCTAATAACTGCATGATAAGTTAGTTTATCATAGTTCCAAATCAATTAAGTTGTATCCATTGAAATTTGAATATTGTACGATTTACGATTCATCATATATTTATTATAATTTTCTTCTCTATATACTTTCACGAACACTTTTATTTAAGAAATATTATTACCTTGTGACTAGGATATTTGGACTCGAGAATTCTTTGGAAAACGCGGAACATCGATGCCTGGAACATCATTCCTGGCATTTTGCAGTCCCACGCTATTCGATGAAGTAACTTCACGACATAGTGATTGACTTCGTTCGTATTTTTATCAAACTGTTGCAGCAGTATTAGCAATGCTTTTACAACCTTGACGTTCGCAAATCTTGTAATAAAATATCACAGTTGAAAATCATAGAAATACAATTACGTTTACACGTGCGAAACAGATGCTTTACCTATGGACGAAGTCAGCGAATTTGAAATCTGTCTCATGGGCAACGACGCGTGGTTCCGAGTCTTCTTCCTCATCCTCATCCTCATCGTTATCTTCCTCTAGAATATTGTATTTTAAAATAGAGAAAGTTGCTACGTGAAATTCTCCTTATCATGTCTTACCTGGCACGCTGTTAAGGAGATTCTCAATATTTTCTTTATCGTTCTGCGAGACAGGCTCCTCTTCGACTACTGAAAAACAAATAAAATTTGTCTACCTTTAATATTTCCCAAAGTGAAAACAATCTGAAAATCTTAAAATAAGACAGATTGATGGAATGTTAATGCTTCAACGAATATACACGTGTCTTAATTAAGGATGTATTGGCTATACAGNTCTATTATCTATGTACAAATTAAAATCGGTCTACATATATGCATTGCATTCATTCCGAATTTAAATGGATTTCATTTAAAACTTTCATGCATTATCCAATCAGGACAATGTTTGGCATTAATATAGCAGAAGTTCATTAAAATTCACTTGATGAATTAAGTTGTTATTAAAATTTCATGTAGATTCTGCTGTACGTGTTGCAAAAGATAAATATTTCCCTCGGCGAAATAATCTTATTCAATACCGACGGAATAAAGTTAACCGCCGCCCTCCGGCAAATTGAAAAATATCCAACGGGAAAAGTTGTGCCTTTAAAGAAGACCCGTAAGTCATGGGATTTAGCGACGTACCTTGGGGATAGTTGTTAGTCTGATGTTCCATAAAGAGAGTGCGTAACTCGTCCTCCTGGGTTTCGGTCCAGAGGCCACGCGAAACTTTCTTGTTATCCGTTTCCGCGTTGTAACCCTCGACGACCTCGGTCGCGTCACGACAGGTCTTCCAGAAGAGCAGCTCCATATACGCTTTCCGGTTCTTCTCCGCGACTTCGATGAAACGCCGGATTATGAAGACCGCGAACTTTTGGAGATCCTGCGAAAAGTCTCTCTCTCTCTCTCTCTCTCGGTTTCCATGGAATGGAACGCGGCAGTTCCGGTGGCCATTAACCGTGATATGCAGATATGTAAATCCGATGCTAACATTTCTGATTCAGCGGGGATATACAACGCTCGTACGAAATTATCAAAAAATTGGTGGAACGAAACAAAAATTCTAATAACTGCATGATAAGTTAGTTTATCATAGTTCCAAATCAATTAAGTTGTATCCATTGAAATTTGAATATTGTACGATTTACGATTCATCATATATTTATTATAATTTTCTTCTCTATATACTTTCACGAACACTTTTATTNGTGTTTCTAAGGTACATAAACTTTTGGGATTGACTGTATAGCCAATACATCCTTAAATTTAGTAGGCCTACAAAAACAAACGGGAACTGAAAAAGTAGTTGCTCTTCTTTTATATTTGTTAAATGTTTTTTTTTTTACAAGCCAAACACCGAAATGAATGCTCGCACGTTGTACGATATACATCATACACACATCGGGTAGTCCAGCAGTGGCTGCAGCTTGTCGTAAAAACATGCCAACGACACGTGCAAAATTTCCAAACGCGCGATGCTATTTCTTCACCGAGCGGACACGAAAATTCCTGCAAACAATTGCGGAGCTTCTCTACTGGAATACGGGTCCAGGCGACGCGACGCAACTACGACCGAGCGCGGCAACTAGTTACTCTATTGAATTTCGACCGACAGAAAGGAATCAATGGTTGCCGAACATCGCTTTTGGACGCGTGCACGAGATCCGACAAATCGGAATTCGAATGGAACCAATGATCTTTGTTCCGTTTTTTAAAATTTTTGTTGGTCGCGTCACAGATAGAAAAATCGGGGCCAGGAGTCGAATAAAAGAGGAGCTGGTACGCCCGTGCCGCGGTTTGATTAATTTACACGAGAAAACCATTCGCGACGGGGAAAAATTGAAACGAGCGTCCGCGCATACCTACACGGATACGCCTAATGCGTACATGCTGGGAATCCGATCGAATCCGATCCCGGTTACCTTGTTTTTCCTCCGGATCTGGCGACCCGGGGCCGGTAGGCGAATTAAGCGGCTGCGGAAAGACGATTACATTTTCGACGAGTTCGGCCAGGCTGGAACGAACTGGCCACAGAGAAAAATTGCACTCGGCGAGACTCGCCGATTGAATCGGCACAAAGCTTCGTTACGCGGCAAATTTTCTAAGGCTTCGCGGACGTGTCCCTTTTACCTACCCGGCTTGTGAAAACGTTGCGCTTCATAGACTTCCAGAGAATTTTGAATAAGTTTTCAGCATGGTCGGCTTTCATTTCTATTTCTCATATGAGTTCACGATTCAGTTATTATTAATTGTTATACAGTTTCACGTGAGATTATCTATTTCAACGTATTTTATTTCTGTGGTAACAAGATTTTAGATATAACGAAACGAAATAAAGTACAGCAATTTATCATACTTTTATCTCAATTATTGTAAATCGTGCAATACAATAAACTGCCAGGGAACAATAAGCAAAATGTTCTTGTTTGGATATGATAATTCTTTTGAAGGTTACAAAAATTTTTATTCCGAGACTGGAATGCATTAGGACTAAGCGTAGTCGTCCGGAAGCATTTTAAATCATCGCGCAAAGTTCCGTTTTAAATGCGCCGCGTTGCGTAGAGTCGAAGGAAACTTCGCTCGCTGTCCGAAGAATTCAGTTTGCCCAAGTGACGTCGGGAGGACGGTGCTGTTTCAACCGAAAGTTTTAATTGTTCCTTTCCGCGGTCTTTTGAACTCACTACGCTCAGCGCACCGGTTCGAGATAAAATAGAAGTCGCAACATTTTCATCTTGGATTAAAAATTTCTCTCCATTGGAACAAAACCGGAAAGCTGCAGTAGTCATGGTTCACAGATTAAGCAAAACACCGTTAAGTCAAATAACAATTTCTCTTAAGATAAGTAAAGTCAGTTAGAAATATTTATTTGTACATTAAATGTGTAGTGAATATTAATAAAACGATAGCTAAAAGAGTTGCATGCATATTTTGTCAGCAGATATTAATTTCAGTTAATTAAAAAATGTAAAACTTTTTTGACAGAGTGTATATGTACCCTCAGAGGAAATGGATTTCGAGATTTTAAATATAAATATGAAACGCAAATGGATGTAGTATTAATAAAGTAGTCATGCAATAAGAGACAAAGAATTAATTTTCAATTGAAAGAGATTTAATATCTATTCGTATATTTCGCAGATCCTAAAAATCTTAAACAGAGCGAGAACGTAGGATAAACAAGGATATTAAAATCATAGAAAAAAAATGTCTGGCAGTCGAACACGTGTGTTTAATAATATTGTAATATATTGAAAAATAAATTAGTAAAAGACTTCAGTGATTGCATGAACTTAATTGAAACACTTTATAATATGAATGAAAGATATCAAATCTTAATCGCTCCTAGCGAAATGAAAGATCAACACTGAAAGTTATACACGTTACATGTTATTTTACTATCGATTGATTAATTTAATGAAAATTAATAAACAAATAATGCCGCGCGGGGCGACGAATTATGAATACCCGAGAGATTTATTTCGTCTGAACGCGTTATTTATTTCCTACGAACCAAACGGAAAAAGCATTAATTTCGTTTGTTTGGCTAGTCGCGCGCGAAGAATTTAATAATGTCTCGCCTCGCCCGCATTCCGTCTTTGCGAGGGGCGAGAGCCCCTCTCCGCGGATCACGAATTAACAATGCACAGCGAGACGTTGAAAAATATCTCCGGGTCGAGAAGGAAACGATGATTCGCTATGCACGTATTACCAGGTATTACACGGTCGTAAAATGCGATTTTTATTAGCCGGATTAGTTGAATCTGCGCACATCCGAATTGTCGAGAGCCGCTCATTTCTGCAAACATTACACCGTGAAGTTGATCCGAAGAATCAATATTCTTGAAATATTTATTGGCAGCGGACGCATATATTAGCCGCGAAATCGGATTAAACGCTTCCATGGCAGCAGCAGGCCTGTGCTGTTTTATCCGTTTTCGATTGTGAATTGTAATTGTTTCCATAAAAGATCTGCAAGCGAAATCTCGATGAATTTTTAGATTATCGGTATTGTTAAACGCGTGCGATTTATTATCAATTAAATGTTACTTCATTATGCAGATACGATTTCTGACTAAATAATAGAGTACTGAAAATAATTCTCATACGAGATAATTTACAAATAACCACAATATGTTTGTTCAAATGAAAGATTATCTTAATTTACCATTTTTCGAGTTCTAGAAATAATAATTTATTACATTTCATCACGGAATTTAATATACTATAATAACGAACGTGTTTTATTATTAATGCAATCAGCGGATTAAGTGAAACTAAAATATTTCGTCATGTTTATGCATTAACTACGATCGCATAGATTCGTCACGGATTTCGTTAAGGTAAGGTCAACGGATCTAATCCTGCGGCGTAACCGTGTTAGATGCAAAGGAGTTATAATGTAAATCATAGACACTAGAATTGTAAAGGCCTCGAACTCCATCCAGGGACCGCGTATCTACACGAGAGTTACGAAACTGTACAACATTCGACGATGTCCCATTAAATCCCGGCGAGATATTAGGAACAATGTATATGTACAATACAATTTGCGGGTTGGTTTAACCCAGCCGATTTGAATATGTATAGTTTACGTAGACTATAATAACACATTTCTATTTGGTTTGATTTTTAGGAAAATTAAACGAAATACTGTTATCACTTTAATTATTTTTTATTATAGTTTCTATTTTATTAAGACATTGACTGAATTAATAATAAATAAATTGAGTTAATTAGATGAATTTGAGACAACGTAGAAGCCATCCTATATGATTTTCCACAGAATTTGCTGGGCTAGAAAATAAGGAGAATAAAATAGAGGAGTGGCACGTTACCAAAGCCTAGCTCATCTGTTAGATTAACCACTTATGTACGTAGTACGTACATGTATGCACGTATGTAGATAGGTTCAACCACCCAACGGATCAACCATTACCACCGGTGCATGGCCAAAGTCGTCCGATAACTCAGGTTATGTCTCGTTACAGGCTTATCGATCGACTGGACAATTCTATGGCGACGTATAATGGTGCACCTGCGTGTACACAGGTGTATACATACGTAAGTACGTGTGCGCGAGTCTGTGCGCATACAGGTGTCTCAACTATGTATAACAAAGGCGATTTACGCGCGATTATAATGTCGCTCTT